AGGTTACAAGAAGGTTCAAAGGCGTTACGAGGGTGTTTGATTCCTAGAAAGGGGGAAAGTTCTTATTAGTAGAATGTAGTTTTCGAAGAAGAGCAAGCTGGCCATGGCAGAAACAACCAAACAATAGAAGACGAATCTGATTGTACTGAAACATTTATTTAGTACAGTAAAAGGAATTGGTGGGGGTGCTGGTATACCCGATAGCAGTGGGATTGCGTTTCGCACTCCATCTACGATCCCTCTTCTTCAAGCTATACCGAAATTCAGAAATCTTTAATTTACCCTCGTAATTCAAGTCATCTTCTTTCGAACATACAGGTATACAGTTCTTAGATTCGAGTTCAAACTCCACCACAAATATTTCGATCATTGCAAGAAAATTTACAATGAGACCAGAGAAGTGGTATGAGAAGTCGGTTTGTGTTTCTATCAATGGAGGAAACCAACACGATACGAAAGAAGCAGTTGGCTTGACAAAAACTGGAGCGTGCGAGGTAGTCTGAAATTGATTCAAATTCAAAAGATGAACCTGGGAACTCTTTGATTTGCCGAAAGGAATCAAAGAGCAGTGGACTCAAATGGTCTTCAAATTGAAGAACGGATCTAAACGCAAGATATTAAAACAACAAAGCCCGTTGGTGGAAAGGCTATGTGCAGAAATATGGGTGATTATAAGGAAGTTTTGCTCCTGTAGCAAGAATAGAAACTGTTTAGAACTATCTTGGCTTATGACAGCTCAAAAACAGTGGAAAGTTCACCACCTGGATGTGATAGACTGCGTTCTTAAACGGAATCTAGAGCAAGGAAGAGCGGTGTATGAGTCAAGCCAGATGGTTTTGTCGACAAAACGAAATCCACAAAAATCCTGCGGTTACACAATGGCATCTATACGTGCTTAAATAACAGGCACCTAGCCTGGTAACACCATAGTCAAGCTTTAAAGTCCATTTGGTTTCATAGGTGTCCTTTTTTGAGCATGCTCTTTATATGAAAAGGAGAGGATGACATTACTGTTTCTGTGTGGAGTTTGATGTCGACGACCTTAATTCTTCACCGGTCTCAAATGGGAAAACATATTGAAGTTTTAAACAAGAGTATTGATTGAGGATGTTCGAGATGAGTGACTTGGGGCTGCTGAGTTATTATCTTGGGATTGAGGTAAAACAAACTCCAGATTGTTCTATCTCTTTGTCAAGCAGGTTTGGATTCGAGCGAGCAAGTGGATTCTTGAAAAAACAGATGCTTATAAATTGCAAGCAGCAGCCGTGTTCAATGGAGCCGAAATGTAAAGCTTAAAAAAAACAAGATGGTGAACCATTGTTCTGATGCCACTGGAATACAGAAGAGATTATTTGGCAGGCTTTGAGTTTACTTGGAAAACACACGTCCTGATCTTAGATACTCCGTTGGTGTTTCAGCCGATATCATGGAACACACTCAACGTTTGAGCACATATGAATGCTTTGTGAAATAGATACTGAGGTAGTGAGAGGCACTATTGGAATGGGATTGTCGTACAAACAAGAATCAAGAAAAAGAGAAGAACTTGTAGCTTTTAGTGCTAGTGACCTTGTAGGAAGATACGGATGACAGGAAGATACTTTCTAGGCATTTATTTTTTTCTTTGCAGAAAGCCAATCACATGGATCTCACAGCAAGCAGAGATTGTTTGCTCTGTCTTCTTGTTGAAGCCGCAGTACATTTAGCCGTTAGCAACAGGTGGATGCTTGTTCAAGGATTATGGCTGAACAAAGATTATATTGGCAGAATGGTGAGGTTTTGATTTGATAAAGTCAAAACCACTGTTGAAGGTTGACTAATCAAGTATCCAGCGTTATATCACTAGCAATTAATCCGGTTTTTTCACGACTAGGAGCAAGCATATTGACACTAAGATTTCATTTTATTCGGTGATTGTGTTCAACATGAACTATACATCGTTTGAATATGTAAAAGACTGAAGTAGCAGTGCTGATTTTGGTTTAACAAAGTCGTATAGCACGGCAGAGGTTCAATGAGCTGAGAGAGAGAATGGGTGTAAACAGTTCTTCAAGGGTGTGGGTGTTGAGTAGATGTAGTAGGATAGTAAAAACATTGGTTTATAAATTGTTGGTATGTATGTTTTTACCGAGTATACCTATCTTACGTTATACATCAGTGTAGTGCGACCAAATTCTAATATGAACGAGCTATATTGTCCCTGTTAGCTCAGGAATTCTGGGACACATATTATCTGTTGTAGAACAGGATATACTGTTTAATTCCTTTCCTATATACATCTTCATTGCGGTCTGACGCAGTTAAATTTAGACGGCCGAATTTAAACGTGACGCAGAGAAAAATAGCTTACGAGTAGATTAGCAAAAGCTCTATCATTTCTCTATACTGGCGATGTGCTTCATCGCAAAAAATGTACTGTATAAGGCTTTTTTATGCAGCTCATAGGAGCTGCCATACGTCTGATCACTTAATTGCTGCTACAACAAAAATTCACACGTGAAGATAGTTTAAAACTGCAAA